GTCCGAGCGACGAATATTCGACGGCCCCCCCGGTCGTTCCGGAAATGAGCAGCAACCAGGAAAGCAGCCTGTCTTGTCGAGGGTCCCCGTTAAAGGGGGGCGAAGGGAAAAAAAACCAAACCCTCTCGGACTGAAACGATGGTTTTCTTTACATCCTCTCCCAACAACATGACTATCTCAAAAAAACAGGGACAGAAAGCATAGTTTGTCAGGAGACGCGTTTTGGTTCAGGAATTCCACCACAGCTTCCCTTTCAGAACTAGGATTGGGTCCATGTCCACACTTCAGACATCATGCCATCCCGGAAACACGAGCAGATAATAGAGGAAAAAACCTTAGAAGGCAGAACCACAACACCGCCGGGGCATGCCGGCGGCGCCGCCTACCAAAGCGATTCCGAACATGGCGAGCCCGAGCCCGCCACTGGCCTCCACGAGGAGCAGCCCGCGGATGGACTAAGTGGCCGCCAGATTTTCTACATCTTTGGGCTCGACGGAATCGGCGCCGCGGTTCTTTCCGGCGGGATTAACTTTGCCATCGCCTACGGTAAGCCTTCCCTAGACGTGCCTACCTACAGGATGAGTCTTCCTGGCGAATGGAACGTGCGAAGCTTAAACCGGGCTGACACGAACCAAACCAGGCATGTACTCGACCCAGAACGTGGGCATGCATCCTATTCGCTTGTTCCAGCTGCCCAATACATTAGCCGGAGATGCGGCAGTCACCGTCCTCATCCAAACCACAGTGACATGGTTCGTCGAGCTTGTATTGGTCGAGCACGACATGAAGAACGGCGCCGTCCGGCCAATAGACTTTGTCAGAGAGCCCTCGCGCCCCCTGCTGCGATGGCTGATGCTGCTGGATCGGAAACAAGCAACGCACTCACAGAGTCGCGCCCAGTCGCTTACCGACCATGCCGTTCGGATCGGTTTGATGTTCATAGTCTCTTTCCTCATTCTCTGGCCCGCATCGGTCGGTATCTTGACCACCATCGGGGAGCGCAGAGGCGGAGGGGATTGGGACTGGTACTTCCAACGGGAATGGGCGCCTCAAGCCTTCAAGGCAGTTTTTGGGGGGCTGTTGGCGCTTCTGACAACCCCTGCTATGGCTTCCTTCTGGCTCGTTCGAGAGGGGTGGCGGTTGCGAAGAGGGTAATGTTGAGCTGATGAATGGATCTTCTGGGGGGATATGATATCACAGGGATAGCCCTATGTTCAAGCGCTTCATGATACCACACGCCCTTTTTCTTTACCATTTCACGCAGTGTTCACAGGGTAAGGCTTCAAACGACTTTGTTGGGATTTGGCGTAAAATGACAAATCATTTCACATTGTTTTCCAGGCTTTCTTTTTCATGACTCTGAGTTGAGTTCTGATGTACATATTGGAGGAACTACCTTAGAGTTGCAAGTTACTACTGGGTTTCAAACTTTCAGTGGGCTTTAAAATAGAGGATTGATTGACACCAGGAATACCTATGACACATGTACACTATGACCGGCATGCCTAAGTAGCAGAGTTAAGTTCCGCACATGAGAAGCCGCTCTTGAAACTTTCGAAAACGGGGTTCTCAGCCAATCCAAAAGCTACAACCACGTGTCGCGGTCCGGTCAGTGTAAATTAAATAGCCGTGGACTCAGAGTTGCGATTCTTGTGGAATGCGCTGTGTGGACGATATATGAGTATAGGTTGTTGAGCTTTGCTTGCTGCACTTAGCTGAGTATGTGTGCGTTAAGGGCCCCGTCAGATTCCCTAATATAGCACATCATATTACATGGTCTCCAGTTCTTTTCCATCATTGTTGAAGAAAGCTTAATTGTGTCAGGACCAAGCCACGTGCTATGTTTATTGTTTAGACTCTCTTACGCAAGAGCTACGTATACCCTGGCAACAAAAAAAACTGTATATCAATAGGAGCATTTAAACAATTGTCCTTCATATTCAATGCTGCTGGGAAATGCAAACGATAAAGTCTCACTCTTTTTGGTTCCTGACCTACCCATGCCTGGTAGAGTCTGCCACCCAACATCTGGCTGTTCCCCTTGGGAGTACAAAAGCGCCATTCTGATATGGATAGGCTATTCTCCTACGTGTTTGCATCGAAAATGGGTGTGTTAATTCATCAAGACTCACACAAATAGCCTCCAAAAAAAGAGAAGAAGAAAAAAACCAATAGCCCACATTTCACTAGACATTTCCACGCTTGTATGCATAAACCAAAAACCTTGTTGCCTTGCAAAGATTGCCAGAGCTTCTTCCAATGTCAGCCTCGGGTGGTATCAGCTTTTCATATAAGAATATACATGGAAATAACAGCCCATATATGAGCGGTTACTCTAGCTGATGAGAAGAAACCCGGATTTTGGTGCCCAGTGGAAGAGCCGCTGAAGTTGCAAGCGCACAATAGTGCCTTTGCCGAAAGGGCTTAGTTCAATATCTCCAACAATAGTATTAATCACGTTTCCTAGCGCCGAGTTTAGGAAGGGAACCTGGTCTTTTTACGTCTGAATCTCCCACATATTAAGGATGCCCGAGTCGGTTCGGGCGTGGTGGCCATTCATACACCTACCAACGACGAGGTACTTGCCATTGCCCGAGAACGCCGCCGAAACTGCGAAACCCGACTCCAGTCTTGCCGAGTAGACCACTTTGCCCGTCGCCAGATCAGTGACATCCGCCCCGTCGTCCGATCGATACGCAACCCACCGCAAATCAGGTGAGATGGCCAACGGGACGCCCTCGCTGCCACGGGCGACCTCGAGGTTGTAGCTGTCCATGGCGCCGGTCTGGTAGTCCCAGATCGTCACCGTCCTGCCCCAGATCGAGGCAATCACGCCCGTCGGGGACACGGCTAGCTGGAGAGGGTTCCGCCAGTGTTCGATCTCGATCTTGGCGACGTTGCGCCCGGACTCGACGCTCGATACCCTCAGAGTGCCGTCTCGCGACATGGTTACGAGCCCGGTGCCGTCCGCCGTGAACTCGGCGTGCGTCACCTCGTCGGTGTGGCTGCGGAGGACGCTGTACCCTTGGCCCTTTGCGCTGGTCACGATCTCGACCCGGTTCCGCACGCCCTTGATCGCCAGGAGTTGGCCATCGGGGCTGAAGGAGTAGGGGCGGATGCCGTGCCATTGCAACGCGAACCGCCTGGCGCTCGGGAGGTTGTCGTTGACCCAGTCAACGACGTACAAGACCGGGTTGTGAAAGTGCACCATGTCATGGGTTGTAGGAATCATCTTCGGAGTGCGGTGCGGCCCGTCGTCCAAGTGTTCCGTCGTGACGGCTACCAAGTCCCTCATGGGCGAAAACACCATATGGACACCTTTGACTCTGATGGGTCTTCTCCGCTGGCCCGCCGAGGCGTCGAACATAGAAATGTCCTTGAAGAAACTGGACACGGCGAAAGAGGTCGGGTCGTTGGCCGAGGTGAATTTGATATCGACGGGCTCCTTCTCCAGGTTCATGACGATCTTTGCAATGTGCCGGAAGGTGACTGGGGATGGTGCGGCCGGGAGAAGCGTCGGAGCGGCGTACAGGTCGCCGTTTACGCTCGATGAACCGGACATGGAATATGTGGATGCGCCGGCGTTGCTGGCAGTGACGCTCAGCCTTGTCATGTCTGGCATCGGGACCGTGGTTGATTGGTTGTCGACGTAGGTCTTGAGAAAGTCAAGAAATGTGACGAGACTGCGCCATGACGCGGTCTGCTCTTGCGGAAACTGGTGATTGAGGACTTCTTTGATGGCATTGATCTCCTGCAAGACGGCGCTGGTGGCATACGGAGGCGACTCCCCGGCTTCTTCTGCCCTTCGCAGGTGTGTAGGTCTGTTATCGAATTAATTCCCGTTCATTAGCCCATGATATCGATATCGGCATTGCCATCAAAACAAACTCACAGACCCATGGCATCTGCAGCCAGGCTCATTGTCCTTCTTCCCGTCCCGAGGCACGAGCCCAGCGCGGCTGCTCGGTCGGCCGCATTCCTCCAGCCATTGTCACCCCGCCGGAGCCGTCCTCCCCCTTCGAGGAATGCGCCCTCAAGTTGCCGCACAATGTCGATACAGAACACAAGCACCTTTCGGGTTTCTAACAAAATCTGTTGCTCCCCTTCGAAGCTCTCCGCGTTGCGGATAAGTGCGACGATGACGCTAGGTAGGCGAATAAGCTCTTCCAGCAATGGAGATAGCTGGACTTGCGTATCAGGATGGGCAGAGATGAAACTTCGTACCGCCGCACTCGCTGGTGCCAGGCTGGATTGCAGCTGTTGACATTCTGGCTCGAAGCCATTGTTATGAGATGCGCTCATCGAGGAGAATCGCCTGACGGTAAAATGGAACCTCTTGCTAACTGCCGTTACCGTGTATGTGATGAGAGATGCTTTCAAGTTCTTGTGTTGTAAGACGTGGTTAGGCAGTCAGAACCCAAGTATAGTGCGGCTATGCCTAGGATGAGAATCCCAATGATGTCAGATACAATTCCGCGCCGCCCATCTGTCGCGGTAATACCTACCATAGCGAAACCTATCAGTGGTGGGGTCGCAGATCTTGTGTCACTTTTGGGAACGCCCAGTGGTGCCAAGTTTGATTTGCTATCTGCCAGTCTGCTTACCGGCATACCGCCGCCAGTGATTAAGGCCCAAGAAAATGGGAATGCACCGGCCTTTCGTTCCTTGGTTTTGGTGTTCTACACCTACAGGGCAATAGGTGTCGGAAAGTCCAGATCCTTCAGCATGTGTGTTGTCGCCTTATTCCAATGTAATCCAAGACGAAGACAGGATCTGTTATGTACATCCACTGACAATTACCCAAGACAAAACAGAGACTTATGCGGCAAGCCACACAAAGAGGCGCAGTATACGCATAGGCTGACGGTCATTAGAGAATATTAGTTTACGGGCTGTAAGAAGCAATTGGGTCGATTGATGTGGAGAAAAGTCTAAACTATATAGATAGTCTTGGTGGAGATGTGCCCAACCAACTATCAATGGATGAAAACATCCACAATTCCCCGATAGTCTAGTGGTGAGGATATCTGCTTGTCATTCAAATGAACGATTCGCAGGGGACCGGGGTTCAATTCCCCGTCGAGGAGATTCTTTTTTCGCTTTTTGTCATCCGTTCATAATACTGTTTCTATTACTTTAACAAAGCTTATCAAGTCCTCTTTTTTTTTTTTTTTTTAGTCTCCCCTTCGTATGTCCTGTTATTAGGAGCTGTAGCAGTCTAACATAGGAGTGGCTGGATCGCTAGATAAATGTTTTTTTTTTCCCTCTCCTGATAGCGCCATTCACGAATCCTGACAGCTTTACACACCGAGGTAGGTAGTCAAAGCAATGCTTGTTTGATTCTGCATACACTTCATGGGTCCTCAAAGAGGATGAATGATCCTTTGACCATTTCAGGAAGGTAAACTCGCGCACTGATCACTCGGGCCAGGGGGACGGACGGGCATTCCATCATGGCTCGCCGACTCCGCACCGGCAAACTCCCAAAAGCCATATGCTTATCGGCCTCACTTGGAACCCGACTCTTTGCCCTCTACAAGCACGATCAACAAACGGAGCTTCCTTCAAATCATCTCTCATTCAATTCTTTCACTTCTTCTTGGAAAATCCTCAACTTCTTTCCAGCGGCCAGTCAATTGACCCCAGGACCATGACGCTCCGCCGAGCTCTCACCTTGGACGGCCCCGCCGCTAACCTCCCACAGCGCGGTCCCCCGCGGCGAGGGGCCGATTCCGCGGGCGTGATCCCAGAGAAGCTTATCAAGCCATGGAGGCTCCCCAAACAGAACACGTACCTGTTTGTCAACGCCAACGTCGTGGACACTGTCAACGGCGCCGTCATTGAGAACACGTCCGTCAAGATCTCGAATGGGTTGATCCAGAGCGTCGGGGAGCCTACCGACGCTTTGGGCGATGCCATTGTCGTCGATTTGCGTGGCAGGTACATCTCGCCAGGTCTCATCGATTGCCATGTGCACGTCAGCTCCGTCCCCGGAGAGGCCGGTCTCAACGGCGGCTTTAACATGGACGCCACCGTTTCTCATTTGAGACAGTCGTTCGTCTGCGGCCGGATCCTGAGCAAAGGCTTCACGACGGTACGCGACACAGGAGGGGCCACCCTTGCCTTGAAGGAAGCCATCCAGGATGGTGTCTTCCCCGGCCCGCGCCTGTTCATCGCCAACCAGGCTCTGTCGCAGACAGGCGGCCACGGCGACCGGCGAGGCGCACACGATCATTCGAGTCTGTGCTGCGGAGGGGTGGCCGGGCTCTCCAGCGTTGTCGACGGCGTGCCGGAATGCATCAGGGCGGCCAGAGAGCAGCTCAGGACGGGAGCCGACTTCATCAAGATCATGGTGGGCGGGGGCGTCGCGTCCCCGACCGACAAAATCGAGAACACGCAGTTCACCGCGGACGAGATCAAGGCCATCAGCGAGGTCGCGCAGAGCTATGGTACCTGGGTCACCGCCCACGCCTACACGCCCCGGGCCATCCGCCATGCCGTCGACAATGGCGTTACCGGTATCGAGCACGGCAACTTCATCGACAAAGAGACCGCCGAGTTCATGGCCGAGAAAGGCGTCTGGTTGACCCCGACCTTGGTCACGTACGACGCCATGGGATCCGACAAATACGCCGGGTTCCTGCCTCCCGAGAACCAACGCAAGAACCAGGAAGTGTTGAAAAGGGGGCTGCAGTCGCTGCGGATTGCCGCCGATGCCGGGGTCACAATCTGCCACGGTTCCGACCTACTCGGTCCTCTGCAGGCGGAGCAGAGCAGAGAGTTTGGCATTCGTCAACAGGCGCTCAGCAGCAAGCATGTTCTGCAGTCCGCGACGGTGAACGCGGCCAGAATGCTTCGCCAGGATGGCTTTCTCGGGCAAGTAAAGGAAGGGTACGCCGCCGACCTCATCATTTTGAACGAGAACCCCCTAGAAAACGTGTCCATCTTGGATGAGCCGGAGAAGAGCGTCCTGGCGGTGATCAAGGATGGAAGGGTGTACACTAGTCGGTGGAGCAAGTTACCTGAGGATGTGACGGAACCGCCCACGCTCATTGAGTGAGACCTCCGACCCCTCTTTGACTGCATATCTTGGGTTTCACGATGAGAGATCCTGTGCAAGCCGGATGGGTCTAAGCATCTGCGAATATTGCCCAAGCATGAATGAGACATATAACTACTCGCTTTGACACTGGTTCGTTATACAATGTCGGTTCATTGCATCACGAGGAAATGATAGGCATCAAATGAACATAATATCGTAACGTCGTGTCTTATGTTATAATAGCCATGTCAAGCGCTGCTATCCCTGGATTCCCTACTATATAAAACTTTGCTAGGCATCTCCGGCATCGAGCTCTCTTGGTCGTACTCCTGGAGCGGGTATTGAGACGAGTGGTTACTAACGAGAACAAATCCGTCGGTTTCTCGGTCGCCCCGGACCAGTCTTGCGGTGTGTCCATTAGAGCTATAGTAGTTTGCAGTACCCTTGGGCGAGTACTTGGAACGGCCCAGCAAAGGCCGGAGGAACGGGATGCAGGCCAGCGTGATGCCGACGCCAGGCTCTAGGGCGCTGAAGATGAGGGCGTTGGGGATGTTGAGTATGACGTCGTAGTACTCAAGGTTGGCCAGGTAGTACAGTCTCAAAGCTGATACAATGCACGTACTGTCGCCAACCCCCCCAGTGGTCAGTTTTCTTCACAAGACAACACTTCATCAAGGACGACTTACAAGACACCCAGAGAAAACGTCACGATGAGAGCGACTTTTTTGTACGTCTCGAGGCGCAGCTTCCACAAGTGGGAAATGGGCATGACGAGAACGGCAATGTCGGTGATCATGTTCAACACCCCCATCGTCCCGTCGGCCGCCGGCTGGTTTCCGCAGTTGCGGTTCTTTAGGTCGAGCAGCCAGTTGTCCGATAGAGGGCGGCAGATGAAAAACGCTATGAGCACGGTGATCACGGTCCATACAGCAGTGAAGCCGGCCATGATCCTTGCCGCCATGACCATCGCACGCGTTGCGAAGATCTTGGAGTAGAGAAGGAGAATAGCGATCTTGCAGAGACTGAGACTAACCGCCCAAAGAATCTGCTGGACGACGAGGACCTGGTTGTTGGGTTTTGATCAGGTCAGTTGGGGTTTGCTCTCGACTTATTGACCGACTGCATGGTTGGGAGAGATCGCTAACCTTGAGAAATTTGATTATAGGCCCGAAGCCGTACTTGGGGACGACGTCGGCGTTGCTAAGACCAACACCGCATTGCACCACGCTGACAATCGAGACCGCTTGGAGAGCATTGGAGAAGACCTGGACGGGAACAGTAAAATCAGTAATCCGTGTCCTCTCTGCGAACGCCTCGAGCGTTGAGTCGAGTAGCGAGGCCATGAAACTCACACATGCTGCAATGATGCACCAATCGCTCCCATCCATGACCCGATTCGCTATGCGCCTCGCGATGAGGCGCAGGGCGACCATCATGGTCGGTATGATGATGAAGGCGATGGAGACCGCCACCACCGAGACCTGAGCCTGCCTCTCCAGCGGGAATATCACGACTCCGTCGCCCGCCATGGGCATCGTAGGAGGTCGTGCCGCCATACTACGGTCCCAGTATCTGCGATGGAAGGATGGCGGTCCTTGTCGTCCACAATGTGGACTGTGCGAGAGAGGTGGAGGGGACGAGCTTCAAGATGTCCAAGCTCTCACATGGAAAACGGAGAACGGCCGCTCCATTTTGAATCTCGCGAGGATTCCCATGGACCAACCCTACCGTTGAGCAAACATGTGTATTTTTCTTTTTCTTCCAGGACACCATCTCAAGCCGTCCAATAGCCCAATGCGGCTGTCTTGTTTGCTTTTTCTATGCGTCTTGGACTGCAGATCGAACCCAGTCTGTCGACACAGTCCAGGGAGAACAGGGGTCTTGCAGCCGAGCTGGGCTTCCCGAAGGGGACGGGCAGGGGTTCGCGCCGCACAAACGGTCAAGAATCGGATGGCCAGCTGCAGACTAGGAAAGTATGGAGGTGTGATGGCTGGGGCTACTCGGTGTGCCCTCAGACAAGGGAGAAAGCGAGGTACCAGAGATCTAACGGTGTGACAGCACGTGTCATTTTCAACAATCTTCCACATATGATGCAAGCTTGACAGCAGCGCTAGTCGTTTCGTTGGGTGTGCGGCATCGTCAGGAACAACGCGAACAATGAAGTGGGCCAAGATGGCCACAAGAATGCCTATCTTGGCTTGCTTGAAAAAGCCGTTTTGTTACACAGACTCGAGATCGATCCGGGAGGACGGGTATTTTGTTACGCTTCTCGGGACCGCAGAAGCCAACGGACGATGCAATCAGAGAGGCATGGTTGGCATGAATCGACAACTCGATGCGGCGCGTCCTCGATAGCCAGAAAGACAGGGAGTATCTGACAAGGGCTACCTACACCTCTCGGCCCACCGTGGACCCTTCTTTGCTTTTTTCTCTCTCTCCCTAGTTCAGTCACCCGCGTTCCCCGTTTCCATGTGCCTGTATCACGCTACAAGCCAATCAACAACCACAGCTCTTCCCCATCGTCTGCCGTCTTGCATTTCTTGCAGCTTTACATAGTAGACCGGCGCTGTCATCAACCGTCTCACACCCTTTTCCAATGCCCGCCACTCAACCAGCCCCTCTCGCGAACCCAGACCTCGACCTAAACAGCGTGGGGACGCGTGGATGGCGCTCCCCACTGCGCACAACCACCCGTTGAGTCCTTGTCCGCGTTGTATTGAGTGTGGTACACCACGATGAATCTTCCGAAAAGGGTTTGTCGTCCGGGCACCGCGCAACCTAATTCTGACGTCTGCCTCGCCTTGGGTAGAGGCGGCATTAGTGTCGACAGAATTTTTCACGCCACTTGTCTATCAGTCACAGTTTGTGTACTGGGCGACAATCAATAACCCGCCTTGCTAGCTCAATCGGTTAGTTTGTGTACTAGGCATGCACCCGAGCAGGAACATGCAGCGCGGAACCGAAGACCGAAGCCACCAATCCGCCAGCTCAGAGCAGTGATGAACCTTACAGATCACGAGCTTGATAAGACGTTAACAATATGTC